AAATTTATATATATATATATATATATATATATATATATATATATATATATTATATACAATTTAAAAATTAAAAACTATTCTTCCTTAACATCATCTGCTAAAACTGAGCTGCCAAACTTTTGATAGAACATCTCCACATCTTCCTTCTATTCTTAAATTTACTAATTCGTCAGCTCTAGTTTTGCCAATATTCACTATTGCTACTGGCTTTTTTGCATCAACTGCTTGCAGCACAATTCTGTATGCAGAGAATGTGGTAAGAGTTGTCCCCAAAATTAACAAAGCATCTGAAGCTTCCACATTGGCTTGTACATCTTGTACCACGTCATGTGGTACGTTGTCGCCAAAAAATACAATATCAGGTTTCAAAATTCCATTGCAATTACCACAAGCGGGAACTTTAAAATCTTCCACTTGTGTCTAGAGAAAACATGTCTTGTCATTAATATTTCCGAGAGTAAGTAATAAATATATATTATAAATAGTATAATAGTTTATATACATATATACATATATATGTATATATACCTGTAGTAACTCTACATCTCCATCAGGTCTTATCATTTGAGTAGTTGCAGTCATTGATGGATTCAATTTCTGAAAAATCTGTTGAAGTTCATATCTGCATATTTTATGATCACAATTGAGACACATCACTCTGAATGATGTTCCATGTAGCTCTATCACATTTTTACTTCCCGCTTTTGAGTGTAAGTTATCAACATTCTGTGTAATAAAACACCGTATCTTTCCAATATCTTCTAACTCTTTTAATATTTTATGTGTAACATTTGGTTTGAGAGATGAAAACCTGGAGAAGACATTCTATTTACCATTATCAGACTTTAGCGCATACAAATTCTATTATATAACAAAAAGATTTTATATTTCAAAAATTAAAATTTTTTCTTTTGTATTTCTCTTATATAGATTTATCATAAAAGCCGCAGAGAGAACACATTTCATAAGGAAATGAGACTAATTTTAAAGTGTCCATTATTTTGTCACTTCTTGGTATATTAGTAAATCTAAGCCGGAAAGAAGTAACCGTAGAAAATAAACCTTGGCCAACCAACATAATTTCTAGCCCAGTATCGTTTTCTACTTGCTTCACTCCTGCAAAATTCTTGATAAAAAACTGGCTTATGATTACTTCGGGCATAAAGACCAACTTCTTCTGATCTGTAATCAGGAATACCACTTTCTGTGGATATTCCTGCTCCAGTTAGCACGCACAGGCGATTGTTTCTGTCAATAAATTCTTTGAGTTTGATCACATCTTCCGTTCTTGTTGGATTGCATTTTGGAACAAAAGCAAGACTTGATTTATACATATATGCTGCAAAATTATTCAAAAATATAATGTAATGTTTATTGCACGTGTATATCATTTGCACATAAAATATAAAATTGTTCAAGAAACGTATGTAGAACATAAATAAAATATGTTTTTTTATTCATTAAATAAGGACGTAACCAAACTTACAACCAAATTCTACCGATGAAATAGTTGCGCGTACAAATGATTTTGTACAGTAAATATTACTCATTATTGCTCATTAAAAAGAATGACGGAGCTAGAATAGCGAAACTTCATCAAACTTTTATCAAATTACTGAAATGAAAAATTCAAACTGTCTTTACAAAAGTGCGAATTCCCACAGAATTTTGCTGTTATGTTCTTTTTATTCTAATAATTCCTATATATTATTTATTATTTGATTATAATATAAAAACATATGAAAATGGCCAAACTTTACTAAGATATAAAGAAATTTCTTTAGTAAAGTACTACCAAAGAGAAGCTTGAGAGCAGTCATCTCACTCATTGAAGTTTCTTTACAACTTAGGACGCTCTCAGCCATTGCTTTCAGCGCCATACATCTATAAGTAAATTGTAGAAACTACGGTACAATATCACTTTTTAATAGCAGACGAAACCAGAGAGAAGTCTGAGAGCGACCAGGCACATAAGAGAATGTGTAATCACTTTTTCGCACCGTAAACTAGCGCATGTCCACGAGTGATACACATTGGAACTACGCAGCCAGTCCACGAGCGACATGTCGGTATGTCCACATTGTGCGGTTTCTATTCCGTTCTATGTGCACGTGTCCAAATGGTCACCTTCTTCAGGCGTGTGAGTATATTCGCGAGCGTGGATTTGATTTCTTTTGAAATTTAAAATGATCGGTCTCGTGATGAGAAGATACGAAAGGAGAACAGAAAAGGACAAAAAAAAAAAACATTGCAACTTTTCACACAACA